AGGTTTCTGCCCTCCTGAACAGGAGCTGGTCTTGGTGAAAAGATCTCGGGTAGAAAGAACTAAGTAGAAATCTAATGGCTTAGAAAAATAGAAGGAGGGGCGCCTGGGTGGCTTAGTCGGTTAAGTGTCCGACTTTCACTTGGGTCATGATCTCGCGGTTCGTGGGCTCGAGCCCCGCGTTGGGCCCTGTGCTGACTGCCAGCTCAGAGCCTGGAGCCTGTTTCAGTCTGTGACTCCCTCTCTCTCTGACCCTCCCCTGCTCACACTGTCTCTCTCTCTCTCTCTCTCTCTCTCTGTCTCCTAGAAATAAATAAAACATTAAAAACAAAAGAAAAAGAAAAAGAAAAATAGAAGGAAATTGCAATCTAGCTCTTCCTTGACACTTTATTGAAGGAGTTTATCTAAATTCAAAATATTATACAACTGCATTAGATATTCACCTATAACCTATGATTCATACATACATTCCAATCAATACAGTGTTTTGTAGTAATATTATGGATCCATCCTTAACAGTCAGGGGAGATGTTCCTGGCTAAAAATCAAAAGGATCTAAATTTGCATATCACTTGGCTTACTGTTTATAAATGCACCTGCTACATATGAATATACCATTCTCCCCGTTTAAACAAAGTGAAAAGAATGACTTGTAACACATGATAATATTCCAACATAGCAAGTTATCCAGAGAAAAAATAAAGTGATCTGCAAATACCATTAGATTAAATATACATTTCCAAATACTGGCAGGACATCCAAACATTTCCTCATTTGTAAAATCTTCCTCTAGACATTTGCAAATTTTTTGTGAGAATTAAAGAGACAGAGTAGGGTAAAGAAAGAATAAACAGTCTCAATCCAGGAGTTGACCTATTTCTGAAATGTTACTGTCACCTCAGTAGGTAAGCAATATAACCCAGTAAACAAATACAAGCAACTACACATTAGGAAAGAAGGAGACACTGGAATTATTCTTGAAAGTGGAAAGCATTCTTCTGGAAGACATTGTGGGATGATTCAAATGAAATACAGGCTTTTTTTAAATTTATGGAAACCATTGATTCATTTGTTTAAATAAAAGAAGTTATCTGTTTCTTGAACCTCTTTTAGGATCAGAATATGAGTCCTTATAGGAATTTATGGAAAGTAAACACTGGGTGTTATATTACTTATAGTTTGTGATAAGAAATTCTTGTTTTATAGATACAAGGTAACAGGGAAAGGGCACATTATAGAATATGTCATTTGTAAAATATAGGCCATACTGTGGCAATAGGAGTGGCTGTTTGGTTTACTGAGTAATATCCCAAACAATGTGGAAGCAGCCCCATAATGGACACAACCATATGTCACTGCAATGTCCAACCCAGGGCTAAATGTGCCTCTGAATGATACCATGAAGGTGGAAAGTCTCTAAGAATCTGATAGAAGTGAAAAATCTGTAAAGTTTACTCTCACACAATGGTTGCTTTTTAAAGGTACATAGAAGATGATGTTAACAGACATTGGAGTCAGGGTCTCCTATATTCAAACAGGACACCACCACCTACCTGTGTAAAATAGAGAAATGCCTAATAGGTATCAGTATGTCATAGCTCTTCTTTTGATTACAACAGATTTAAGCTTGAACACTGATCTTACGACTTTAAGCATGGTACTTTTTCCATAATACCTTAAGAATGACACTGAAAACTTTATAAAACTCTCAAAGAATGGAGTGAAAATATTTTCCAAAAATGGAAAAGGAGCAATGACTTAAGTACATGAAAGGTGGGCTATCCAGAAGTCAACTGGTTGACAGAGGGAATTCTGCTATTACAAGCCAAATGATGGCATTTGGCTATGTCAGAGTGCCACCAAATTCTGGGCCTGGGACTCAAAGCCAGAAATACTAGGAATGACAGTGCTGCTACCCCAGCCAGGACTGCAAGGATAAAAAATCAAGTAGCACTCGCAGGACTTGATATTGGAATGTGCATCTCCAAGGTCACAAAACACCCAACACCTTTCCATTTTTCACCTAGAAATGGAATCAGTGGTTCTGCCCAGACTTATCCTCCCAGAGCATGGGACATGTGTGGTAAAGCCTTTGACCAGCATATACTGGCTGTCTCTTGCATCTCACCTGCTTCAAGTTTTTAGTGTAATGCAACACAAGAAAGGTGTTAATCTGTCAGGAGAAACACACCAAATCAAGAAGCAAACAACTTAAATTTGTGAAGTAGCAATGATGTTTCTTTCATCCCAAGAAAAATTTTAGGATAGGAAAAAAAACCTTAAGAATTAGAAGACAGAAGACCTGTTGAGGATCACTGTCCAAATAATAAAAACAATTAGATAAATATCCCTGAGTTGACAATAAATGGGGAAGGGAAGAGCTCCATTATCATTGCCTTATTTTAAAAATAAGAATGTGAGCACTCTGTATTGTTCACCCTGTAGAGAAAGTGTGTCCAGACACCCTGCCTTTCCAGATCCAACCAATCACACACTAGGATATTATTTTCACGTTTGTTATTATTTTCACGTTTGTTTTATAAGGGTAATTTTTTACAGTATACTGAAATAATTTTCACTGATTTCTTAAAGGACAGAGGAAATGTGAATGTTGAGAGCTCCCATCCCACATTCCTACTCCAAAGGCTAAATCGAACCACTGGTTTGGCACACAGATGCTCACAGTGGCCACTAAGATGTGCCAGGTATGGTTCCACTTCTCCCCTGTCCTAGCTTCCCCACATGCTCACCCCTGCTGATCACATCACAGGTTAGCTGTTCTCAGCTCCCAGAAATATCTTCTTTGGGTGTATGGTGGCTTATTAACACACACAGGATTCCATCACCACAAAACTGGTTTTCTTTTATTTTCCACAGTCTAACATCTACCCTCGACCATGCCCCATGATGGGTTCTAACAGCCCTGTTTCTAATACTTACTCCTGTGCCATGACCTCTCTACTCTCTTTTTCCCTTTCTGGCTTTCTTGTCTCTCATTTTCAGGTACTTTCCCAAACTCCAATTTGTGTGTGCAAAAACTGATCTTACACCAACAATGCCAGTCAACAAATGCATATTTTCTTATAACATAGTGAGCTGTCATGTTAACTTCAAGGTATTAGATCCTCTCAATAAGCTCAAGTGCTGCTGTGTCCTCAAGGACTTCTACTTTTCCACTAAGGAAAAGAGCTTTCCCCCATTTATTCCTGGGAATAGAGCTATTTCAGGAACATAAATGCTTCTAAGTATTGTGCTGGTTTTGTTTTTTCCTTAATGTTAAAGAACAGGCAACATACTGATACAAGTTTGTCATGAACTTAAAACATCTATAAATATTTCTTCCATACACCAGCTTTATTATTTTAAAAACACTGTTCAGTGAAGGAAAAAAAAAGAAGTCAACATATAAACGGGAGAAAATTTTTGCAAATCATATATCTGATAAGGGATTAATATGCAAAATATATAAAGAAGTCCTACAACGAAAAACCAAAAAACCAAATCTGCTGATTTACAAAAGAGCAGAGGACCTGAAATGACATTTTGCCAAAAAAGACATTTTGCCAAAGAAGACATACAGATGGCCACCAGGTACATGAGAAGATATCCAAATCACTAGTCATCATGGAAAATGCTAATCAAAACCATGATCAGTTATCACCTTACACCTCTTAGAATGACTATCATCAAAAAGATATAGCAAGTGTTGATGAGGAAAGGAAGAAAAGGAAGCCCTCATAAGCTGTTTGTGGGAATGTAAATTGTGCAACCATTGAGCAAAACAGTATGGAATTACCTCAAAAAATTAAAAACAGAACTATCAAATGACCTTGTAATTCCACTTTTGGTATTTGTCAAAAGAAAATAGAAACACAAACTCAAAAAGATATATGTACCCCATGTCACTACAGCATTACTTACAACAGTTAAGATAGGGAAATAACCTTGATACCCATCAATATTATAAATGGTATAAATGAAGGGTGCCTGGATGGCTCAGTCGATTAAGCATCCAACTTCGGCTCAGGTCATGATCTCACAGTTTGTGGGTTTGAGCCCCACATCGGGTTCTGTGCTGACAGCTCAGAGCCTGGAGCCTGCTTCAGATGTATTTTCCTCTTTCTCTGCCCCCTCCCCATTCATGCTTTCTCTCTCTCAAAAATAAATAATAAACATTAAAAATGTTTAAAAAATAATAAATTATATAAATTATATAAATGATAAAGAAAATGAGATGGACACACATACACACAGGAATACTACTCAGCTATAAAAAAGGAAATCTTGCCATTTGTGACAACATGAATATACTTTGAGGATATTATGCTAAGTGAAATAAGTCAGAGAAAGACAAATACTGTATCATGTCACTTATATGTGGAATAAAACAAAAATCCCAAGCTTATGACTACAGATTGGTATTGCTAGAGGCAGGAAGTGGGGGGGGGGGCAAAATGGGTTAAGGAAGTCAAAAGATACAGATTTCTAGTTATGAAATAAATAAGTTATGGGGATTCAACATACAGAATGGTGACTATAGTTGATAACACTGTATTGCATATTTGAAACTTGGTAAGAGAGTAAATCTTAAAAGCTCTCATAACACAAAAACTTTGTATATATGGTGACAGGTGATAACATGACATTGTGGTGATCATTTTGCAATAGATTCAAATACTGAATCATTATGCTATATACCTGAAACTAATACAATGAATATCAATTATACCACCTTTTTAAAAGAAGTTTTTTAAGATATAAAAAAATTTTTAAAAAGAACATTGAAATAGGCTCAGAAAATCAAACTATTTCCTAATGTGTTAGCAAAACTCAAACAATGACACGAGGATTCTTAGCCTTGCCCATTACATGTCAATAAGGCCTTTTTGGTTCTTGTTAGGTCTACTTTCTACAGTAATATATTTAGAACATGTGTTCAACTGCTCCCTAAATAGTATCATATTCTTTAATAGTTAAATCAAAAGGAAAGAAAAGGAACTCACCCAAAGAACAAGGTCTAATCGGGTATACTTCTTATGGATTCTCAGGAAGTCTTTCCACCCATTCAGTATGCAGTCTTGGCATGGACTGTTTGCATTTCTGTCAGCAGCTGTTTATAGAATGGGGCGTGCCTTGGATTTACTTATGCAAAAGGATGGAGGAACTACAATGTACTTGCAACTATCCAGCCAATTTCTAAATTAACCTGTATGATCACAGTTGGCTGTTTAGATACTGCTATTGATTTCTAATTTTACTGCATTTTGGTCAGCAAAATTGATTTGCATAATATCAAATTTTGAGTGATTTCTTAAGTTTTATCAAGGGTCCATAACTGTTTGAAAATGATCTATACACCCTGTTTATTGTATGCTAGCTAGTTATGTTTCTCAATCTGATATATCTTTACTTACATTTTACTATTTTACCTCTTTCTGAGAAAGGTGTGTTAAGAAACTGTATTTCTTTAATAAAATAAATACAACATACTATCTTAAAGAAGATAAATATAAAGGATCATAAAAGAACAAGGCATTGCAGTCCTTATTCACGAGGCATTCAATCTGTGGCCTTTGTGTGCTATAGAACACTGAGAACCATGGAGGTACTTTAAGAGTTCTGTAAACTTTTATTCACAGGTCTGTTTTCCCTTTATTGTTATTTTTTTGATTTGGAATAAAAACTCCTCCAGTTATACAAGTTATATACCAGATTTAGAGATATCCAAATTATTCATTTATGCTGCTTGGCTAAGTTATTTGCTTCTGTCTTTAGAGCATACATGTTATTTGAAATTTCTATATATGTATCATTAATGGAAAAGGCTGTAATTTTCAATAGGATTTTCTCTCCTTTTTCTTTCTCTTTTGTAAAATTCAGAGTAGATCTCTGTGTCCGCTCTTGTGAAATTATTTCAAGAGGCGTATGTGAGCCACTCTCAGTACATAACAGCAAGGCTCAGGCACATCTGTTCAGCATGTTTGCTTCCATCCTGTTAGGACAGTCAATTGAGCAATAAGGAATGAACACAATATGTTGCATCAAAACATTTGATTACAGATTACTGTAGAGATAATTTTATGTTTGGAGAACTTCTTGTTTGACTTCTATAAATATGATCAAGCTATTCTAAGTTTGGGTTACTTCTTGTCTGTAGCAGATCAGTATCTTCACAGCCAGCTGGATACTCTTGCACAGGGTCTCAGAAAACTTACATAAGGTCATTGCAGCAAACTTTTCACTACCTCAGAAAACTGCTTTGGTCCAGCTAGTTGCAAACCTTCTTTAGCAAGTTTCTTCAAATGAAATCTTACATGGCACTCCACTATACAAAACCAATGAAAGTAGAACCATTCTGATAAGAAGATAAAGATGAAGATGAGATCTGACTTCCAAAGGCTGTGGCCCCTACAAAGACTAACAAGAGCCCCTTTGTACACATTTATAAACCAGTGAGGAAAGCTCTACCTTCAAGCCAACTCTGAATCATCTCATTTGTCTATGGACCCAAACACTGCCTAAACACCTTAGATTGACAACTCCTTTGTAAGGCTTGGCAGGCTTTTCTACTGAACATGTCCTTAAGATGCCACCTCTCAGATCTCCCCCACTTACCACAATCTTAGAAAACTTCTCACCTGGGAGGGAAAATCCAAAATGTCCTGGGTGTCCCTGATGAGAACTCCAAGAAGGGGTACCTTAAGCTTGAGAGAAGTAAGATAAGCCCAATAGATAGAGTCTTGGAGACAACCATCATTGGATCATTCACAGGAAGGGAAAGTTTATGTGTCTAAGTCTAAATAGTCCTGGGAAAGTCCAGACCAAGCTGGCCAGAAGTAAACATAAAGGTAGCACTATGGGACACAGAGACACATAGACACACCCCGCCTTGGGACAGGAATCAGTGTCCTTGAAAATGACAACTGTTAGAAGGATGCTTACAACCAGCTATCTTGGTGATCCTTGCTAATGGGACTAAATGGACACACTGAGGCCATCAGAAAATATATCCATACTAATCTCAATAGACTCAAGAAGCTATGCTTGACCCTAAAAAGTCAAGATAGGTTTTGGAGAACAGAATGAAACACTGATATGGCAAACTTAATAACTGATAAATATAGGGGTGCCTGTGTGGTTCAGTCAGTTGAGCATCTGACTTCGGCTCAGGTCATGATCTCGCAGTTTGTGAGTTCAAGACAGGTGGTCAAAGTCACATCAAAGTCAAACACCAACAAAGTAAGGAACAGATCAAAAAGGGGAGAAGTGTTCATAGCAGCATTCTCAACAATAGCTAAAACATGGAAAGAGCCTAAGTGTCCATCAACGGACGAATGGATCAAGAAGATGTGGTTTATCTATACGATGGAATACTACATGGCAATGAGAAACAATGAAATCTGGCCATGTGTAGCAACATGGATGGACCTTGAGGGTGTTATGCTGAGAGAAATAAGTCAGGCAGAGAAGGACAAATATCATATGTTTGCACGTATAGGAGGATTAGGAGGAACTTAACTGAGGAACAAGGGGGGAGAAGAAGGGGGGAAATGGTGGGGGAAAGGGAGAGAGGCAAACCATGAGAGACTCTTGAATGCTGACAAAAACTGAGGACTGATGGATGTGGGGGGGAGGGGTGGATGGGCATGGAGGAGGGCACTTGTGGGGATGAGCACTGGTGTTATGTGGAAACTAATTTGACAATAAACTATTTGTAAAAAAAAAATTAAAATTAAAATTAAAAAAACAAAACAAACAAACAAAAAAAACAAAAAGGGGAGAAGTGGCTTATGGATTTGTGGAAGAGTGTTCTAGGAATTCAGAGAGATTCTCTTCCCTTCTTTTTTTTTTTTTTTAAACATATCGTTGGTCTTTGTCCCACTTCTTTTTTTTTTAATGTTTTATTTATTTCTAGGAGAGAGAGAGAGACTGCGTGAGCAGGGGAGGGTCAGAGAGAGAGGGAGTCACAGACTGAAACAGGCTCCAGGCTCTGGGCTGGCAGTCAGCACAGAGCCCGATGCGGGGCTCGAACCCACGAACCGTGAGATCATGACCTAAGTGAAAGTCGGACGCTTAACCGACTAAGCCACCCAGGCGCCCCTTCCCTTCTAAGTCAGGGCAATTTTTCCCATCTGGTTGCTCTCCTCTGTTGGCCCATCCAATTTCGAAGGCTCCCTAATTGTTCCAACAAGATTCCTTCACTAAGTTTCTTCCTCCTACCTTGGGGAGATGGAAAACCATGCATCCAGATTAGCATTTGGTTCCCCAAAGCCATACTTGTCTTTGCCATCAGCCAAGCCTGAGATAAGGGCACCTATGGGAACCAAGCCCCTGTTTCCTGAACAATATTTTAAGGCAGGAGTCTAAGTATATAGGGGCTAAAGTGAGTGGGCAAGATGGTCACTCGGAAAATACCTAGAAGGTCTTGTTGAAAATAAAGAAAACTCAATAGAAGTTTACTAACACAAAATAAAAAAAGTTAACTGTGAATCAGCAAGAGAACAAGCCAAGAGAGTAAAGAAAATTATAGACAAGAGGAGCATAAACCACATGACAAAACACCATGAGGATTTAAGTATCTATGAATATTTTAGAAATTGATAAGCAACAGCTTTAGAAAATTTTTTGAGTAGTTGGAGGACATTAAAGAAACAAATGATATTAAAATTTTTAATGATGACGAAATGAGATTCTATATACATGAGAGGTAACTGTAAAGTAGTAAGAAAAAGTTTTTAGAAGCCACAGTGGAAATCAATTTCACAATTCTATAATTATGGTTTAATAAATCAACTTTTTAAAATTTAAAGTTAACTTCCACATACCAACAAACGACTGCAAAAGCTTTTAAGTTGAATGTTTTGACCTCAGGAATTATGTTTCCATTAAAAAAAACCCCCAAAACCAGTATTACTAATGGTATCCTTTTTTTTTTTTTTTTTTTAGTCTATTTTGAGAGAGAGGGGGAGGGAGGAAGGCAGGCAAAGAGGGAGGCAGAGAGAGGGAGCCTGAACTTGGAGCTCCAACTCACAAACCGTGAGATCATGACGTGAGTTGAAATCAAGAGTTGGAGTCTTAATTGACTAAGCCACCCAGGTGCCCCTGGTAACCTTTTTAAATTAGAACTTTCCCATATATATTTGCACATCACATAAAAATACAATTGCGGTATAGGTATCAAGCATTGAAAATAAACCAAAGCTTCTAACAATAGACCCCAAATGATATTAATTTTTAATGAAAAATTACCTTAAAAATTCATATATGAATGTCCTAGAAAAGGTTTTACATATTTACATTTCAGAGTCTACTGCATAGATATTACAATTTCTAATTTGAAATAATTTCCCTTAATTGCTGACACCTCTGAGTAGTTGACATACACATTCCTTCAGCTCCTATTAAGTAATTCTACACTGTGGACATTTTGACACAGAAAGGAACAGATGTTAAAGTTCTATTACTACTAATCTAAAATGATTTAATCTTATGTTCTCCTAAGAAACAGAAGCCCATAAAAGAACATGTGTAGGCTTCTGTTATTAGGAAATTGGACATTTTTCATATGCATTCTAGTAGAAGAGGTTTTACATTTTATTCAGATGCAAAATGCTAAAGAACTCAGGAGATGCAGTGTGATTTCCAAACCAAAATGTGGTGTATGTGATCTGTTAGTAGATTTTTGTGATCCTTTTGAGAAAAGTTAATAAAGTTTGGAAATATAGTCTGTACATATAGTTTGGTTGTCCAAGTATTAGGATTTATGAAGCATCTCACTAATCAATGGGGCAAATGCACAAGAATATATGAAATGAAGCAGTCCTGGAGAAATTCATGGATTTAGTCATTACAACACATCTCCATGCACAGATGAAATGTTTAATTATTTGGGCTCCCTTCACTTCTGACACCAGGGCTCAGGGGTGAGGCCCTATTGATTGCTATAGAAGAGAAAAAGGAAGGGAATTTGTTTTAAAGGAAATATCCTTACCTATATTGTTTCTTTTCTCACAGCCTCAGTCGCTAAAAGAATGATCACAAACCAAGTCAAATGCTTCTCTACCCACTCCACTCTCAACCCAAAAACCTGTCTTCATAAGCCACATCCTA